GGCCAGCCCCAGCTACAGAGAGAGTTCCAGGACAGCCAGGGCTACACAGAGAAACCCTGTTTTAAAAAAAAAAAAAAAAAAAAAAAAAAAAAAAAAAGAATTAAAAGGATCTCCATGAGTTGGAAGCCAGTCTGGTTTACAGAGTGAGTTCCAGGACAGCCAAGGCTTCCCAGAGAAACCTTGTCATAAAACAAAGCAAAAAGCAAAAGAATAAAACGGTGGAGAGAGATGAAGACACCCAGTGTGGTGGAATCCAGATATAGAGTTCTCAGCTACTTCTCCAGCACTCGCATGCCCCCATGTTCCCTGCCATGCTGATAATATATTAACATTCTGAGCTGTGAGCCAGCCCCAGTTAAATGCTTCCCTTTTAAGACTTGCCATAGTCATGGTCTCTTCATAGCAACAGAACATTGAGTATGACAGAAGTTGGTTCCATGGAGCAATATTGGTATTGCTGTAACAGGGCTTGATCATGTGCCTGTGGGCAGACAATGGAATTTGGGACTTTGGATTAGGAAGGCTGTTGAAGGAAAGCAGGAAATCAGGGCTTAGTGGGCCATACTGGTAGGACTGTGGAAGACAATGGTGCCAAGAGCAATGTAGATAACGGCAACCCAGCTTAAGAGGTTTTAGAAGAGAATATTACTATGTGGTCTAAAGACCAATCTTGGGATATCTTGGCAAAGAATGTAGCTGCTTTCTGCCCTTGTCAAAAAAATCTGCCTGAGGTTAATGTAACAGGCTTTTTTTGGGACCACCAACCAGCTCCCAAAAAGGCACAGAGACGTAATATTAGTTATGAATGCTTGGCCTTAGCTTATGCTTGTCCCACTAGCTCTTATAACTTAATTTAACCTGTTTCTATTCATCTACATTTTGCCTCGTATTTTTTTTTAGCTTTCTTTTATTTTGTGTGCCCTACTCTGAGTCTGGCAGCCTGGTGGCTGCCTGGCTAACCCCTGGAGTCTCCCTTTCTTTCTCCCTCATTCTCTCTCCTCTCTTCTCCTGAGCCTAGGTTCCTCCTCCTATTTAGTCTCTCTGCCAGCCAGCCCTGCCTATCCCTATAATGCCTATATATTGGCCAGTCAGCTTTTTATTAAACCAGTCAAGTGTGCTTTAGGCAGGCAGAGAAACACATCTTTACATCATTAAACAAATTAAGCATAAACAAATGTAATACAGCTTTACATACTTAAAACAATATTGCACAACATAAACAAATGTAACACATCTTTGCCTTGTTAGACAAATATTCCACAACAGGCCAAACTGAGGAGTTTTAGATTAATGGCATTGGCAGAGGAGATTTTTGACGAAGCCTAGTATTAACTCTGACACGTGGTTATTAAAGGTCACTCTTGTATAGATCTATAGTGAAAAGGAGCAAGCTGAATAAGGAAAAATACAAAATGTACAATTTGAGGAGGAAATGAGCACCCAGGAAGTGTAATGGAGCCAAATCCAGTACTCAATGAAATAAAAAGATTAAAGAAAAACCTGATGCTAAGTAGAATAAAGGGAGTAGTGGGGGCTGGAGAGATGGCTCAGTGGTTAAGAGTTCCGGCTGTTCTTCCAGAGGTCCTGAGTTCAATTTCCAATAACCACATGGCAGCTCACAACCATCTGTTATAAGATCTGGTACCCTCTTCTGGTGTGCAGATGTATATGGAAGCAGAATGTTGTAAACATAATAAATAAGTAAATAAAATCTTTTTTTAAAAAAAAGGAGTAGTAATCTTAGGGCAAGACTCCACCCAGCTAAGCTTCCAACTTACTAACTTATGAAAAGGAATTAAAGAAAAGTGTAAACAATGAAGGAAACCATTAAAAACAGAAAGCTGATGAAAATATATTTGAACAAGGGGGGCAAGATCCAGCCCCAGCAAGCAGTAGAACTTGTCAGGTTCAACTACAAGGTTCAGGCTTTAGAGTCCAGGATACAAGAATGGGGTTGTGGAATGTCTGTCCTTGACTAAGGAAAGCATCAAGGTCAGGCATGTGTCAGGATAGCCCCTGCATGGAGGCCCAGAAAGGCTATTGCATGAAGATATGAAAGTGAAGCCTGGATTTTGTTGGAGACCCCAAGATGTTGGAGAAGTCATAGCCATGGGTTACCCATAGTCATTGGAAAGCTGCTAGCAGAGTGTGGAACCAGCACAAGAGAGAGAAGTGTGTTGCTGGCAGTCGATAGAGCTGCGAGGAGTTGGAGATCTGAGGGGCACTTTGACATCAGAAATGGGGATGAAGAATTTGGAGTTTTCCCAGCTGATTTTCAGTCTTGCTTTGGCCCAGTATTTCATCACTATGTTCCTTTCCCTCCTCCCTTTTGGAATAGCAATGTGTGTTCTATACAATTGTATGTTGGAAGTATGTGATCTGCTTTTTTATTTTTATTTTACATGGGTTACATACAGTTGAGAGATTTCCTTGAGTCTCAGGAGAGACTTTCAACTCTGGACTTTTAAACAGTGTTGAGACTGTGATAGACCATGGGGACTTCTGAAGTTGGGCTGAATGCATTTTTGCATTATGCTATGACTACAAGTCTACGGAGGCCAGGGAGTCAAATGTGGTGGTTTGAAAGAGAATGGCTCCCATAGGCTCATAGATTTGAATGTTTGGTCACTATTTGAAAGGAGTAGGAGCTGTGGTCATGTCGGAGGAAGTGTGTCACTGGGGGTGGACTTTGAGATTTCAGAAGCCCGTGACAAACTGTAGTGGTTTGAAAGAAAATGGCCCCCAAAGGGAATGGCTCCATTAGTAGGTGTGGTATTGTTGGAGGAAATGTGTCATTGTGGAGGCAGGCTTTGCAGTCTCATATGTATGCTCAAGCCTTGCCCAGTGTCTCAGACCACTTCCTGTAGTCCGTGAGACAAGATGTAGAACTCTCAGCTCCTTCTCTAACACCAGATCTGCCTGCATGCTGCCTTGCTTCCCACCATGCTGATAATGGACTAAACTTCTGAAATGATAAGCAAGCCCCAGTTATAAAGCTTTTCTTTATAATACTTGCCATAGTCATGGTGTCGCTTCACAGCAATAAAACA